GGTGATATAAATGACCCGGCAATTAAGACACTTGGATGGAAGGCTGATAAACTATCTGATTTTGCTATAAAGGGCAATTTTAGGCATATCACTGATTCATTAGGATGGTACACAAATGTGCCAGTTACTATAAAGAACAAAGAGAGTGAGACAGTCATAGTCATTGGAAATTTTGTATGTATAGATAATGGCGAACCTGAATCAATGCTATTTTTAGGTATGTCAAATATTCGAAAGCTCCAAGGTGTTCCCGAGCCAAATAAAAACCAGTTCCGTATAAAGTTACATGGAAAAACCTATATTATTCCAACATATAGCAAAGCCCCAGTAGCTAAGGATCTGCCAAAAGATGAGCAAGATTCATTATCTCAAACATCTGTCAACTCCTCTACCCTAACTAGTAAAGAGGATTTAAAAAAAAGTATGTAAACTATAAAAAGCTTGAAAAGCATCTTACAAAAGCTAAAGAATGGCTTGGTAAGGCATTAAGTGCAATAAAAATACTTGCTAAAAAGCAGTGAAAAACTAAATAGAATTACTAAGATCATCCATTTCTTTTAATACTTTTTCAAGTTCAAATCCCATCCTAGATATATTATCATTAGAAGGGGCATAGTTAATAGTATTATCTGTTTCAGCAGAGGCTACACTCGTTTTACCTGTCTTCTTTTTTCAGATATTTTTTTTCAGTAGTAAGTCAGGTAAAAAAGAAGTAATTTCTTCTTCTATTTTAGTGGATGGCATAACAGCATAAGAGGCAGGTTCACTTAAGTGAATGACCTTAGATCTGATATTAGAAATATCAGCTATTGGTTGATTCCAAGCAATCCTATTAGCTTCTTCGCCTCTCCAAATCTGATATATGCATTTCATTGATGGGTTATATTTGTACATTAATTCCTCTAAAACCTTTTTCCTTGGCCTTTCATTTTCACATTGCATAATAAAATCGTAATCAGCTGGTGAAAATAAAGGCACATTACAATTTATACGTTGTCTAACCATAATCAGGGTGGTGTATTTTTTTTTCAGATAAAATATTTCAAAAAATATTAAATAGGATAAATAGAAAAAATATATTATTTGAAATAAATAAGATAAGTGTAGTCTTTTTAATATTTAGAAAAAAAAATATATTATTTCGAAAATAATTTAATAGAATAATTAGAATAAATATATTATTTCGAAAATAATTTAATATAATAATTAGAATAAATACATTAATTCGAAAAAGATTTGGGGAGGTAATTAGGATAAATGTATCATTTTGGAAATATAAAAAAACATATATTTCAAAAATATTTTTATTTTTTCTATCTATATTTCTAGAATAAAAAAAAAACTATGCCTCAAATCTATACCTTGAATGATATAGGTAATAGTGGTGGCAGTAAACTTGGAAGCCCTCTATCTAATCGATATCCACCTAGTCGTTTAGAGCTTGAAGAACAGCTAAAAAAAGATCGTGAAATGTTTATAAGATCTGCCAAACAGCTTATAACTAAATATCATACCTTAGATAAAGAAAATAAGCGTATGCAAAATGATTTAAATCACTCGCATGAAGAAAATGAGCGTATACAAAATGATCTAGATTACTTGCATGAAGAAAATGAGCATATGCAAAATTCTATGAATCAAATTATCCCCCTAACTAAACAACTAAATGATTTAAATAATAAGCTTGGCTACCAAATTACTTGTGAACGAAAGTCTCGTGCTAATCTTAATGCCAAGCAGTTAAAAGAAATAGAATTGCTAAAGTCTGAGATTAATTTGAAGGATTTTGAAATTACCTCTTTTGAGGCTAGAATAAATGAATTGGAGGCTGAGTTAGAACAAACAGCACAAAAAGCTTTATTAAAGGATACCGATACTATCCCGTCACTTCATAAGATTAAGGTGAAGGAATTGAAAAATGAACTAGAGCAAGTTACGCAAAATTTATCATTTAGAGATAGATTAATTTTCTGTCTCTGATCTAGAGTAAGTGATCTGGAAGATGAACTAGAACAGATCTCTCTAAAACCAGATTCGTCATCTAATGATTCGAAAACAGGTGGCGATGCAGTAGAAGAGGTATCTGGTTTCTCTAAAACACACTCTTTTTCTTCACATCACTCAGAGCCTAAACCTGATAAAAGCAAAGTAAAAGATGTGGTGGAGCCCCCCATAAACCATGCCTGCAATAAGCAGAAAGAGAAACTCGATAATATTCAAGCCTTACCTATTGTTACATTAGGGGTTGGTAATGCTTTAGTTAATGATCAGTATATAATTCTGCTTATATTCAAGCTTGTTATTTTATCCTTAGTGATAATATTAATTATATGGTATATATATAAGCAATTTTTTTGCCCAATCAAAAAGAAAGAAATTTTTTATCCAGTCTATAGAAATCAAAGTTATAGTTTCCTAAACCATTATGCAAAAGAACCAAAAGACAACTGGACTCATGAAACTTTACCTTATGGATATGGATGAGGCCACAAAGCATGAATCATCCAGAAATGTCAGACATCCAACAATGACATGGCCTTTCAGCAAGATAGTTAGTGGAAGAAGTGGTACAGGTAAGACTAATTTACTAGCAAATTTGTTCTTAGGAGATAAGAGTGAGCATATATACAAAGGATAGAAAGGGGGAACGAAATATATTAGATGTGATGATTTGATAGTATGTAGTTACCATCCTGATGAACCAAAATAGACATTTGTAAGATATATATATGACGTAATTTCAAAAGATCCAAGAGTGCCATATTATGAGAATATTCGGTTTAGCTATATTCCTCCTGAAAGGATTCTAAACGTGAAATCATTCTCACCAGAAAGGAGCACTGTTATTATTTTTGAGGATTTGTGTGTTGCCCCAGAGTATATACAAAATCAAATTATCCCTTTCTTTACTCACGGGTGCCACAGGAACATTTTACCTATTTATGTAACACAACATTATCATAAAGTTCCCATTATTATTCGAGAAAATGTCTCCTATTTAGTGATATTTAATGGCGGTAGTAGCGCTTATGATATCTCCAAAATTGTTAGATGATATACTGATGATGTAAAGGGTGCATCCATGGTTATTAATAGCTACCTTCGTAAAGGTAAGTTTGTTGTATTTGATCTCAGTAGGCCAGAGGATGATCCTCTTGCCATTCGACTAAGGTTTGACATACCATTGAATCTACAAAAAGAGATAGAGGCAAGGCAGAAGCAGAAGGAAAAAAATACCTCAGCTAATTCATAAAACTTTTTACTATACTCTTGCAAGCTCAGAGATGCAGAAATTGATTACCTTTAACACATCTATAACTGATAGTAGTTTGTATGCGATATGTACTCCGAAAAGATATCCTAGTAGATAGACTCAATTAAATATATTTATTTATTATATACTGTAGTCCGTTCACCGTTTTCTTAATGCTATTCTTGAGATCACAATTGGGAAATAAAATTTATATATTAATATTTACTTGCAATATATGCAAGAAAGTATCGATGTGAAATAAAAATCTATGAAGTGTATATTTATATTTTTTTTCATTTTCGGCTACGTACAAATTTGAATCGCGATATTCCTTAATATAGGTTGATAAAGAATCGCTATAAATCGCTAAAAATGTTATAAATCGTTAAAACACTAAAACAATAAATTATTAATAAATATGTCTAGTCAAACTTCTAAAATCATTATAGATGAGGTTTTTAATAAATCGGTACCCAAACCCATTAATCTTCGTCCAGGATATGATTTGGAATATGTCAAAAAATATTATATAAAATGTAGTAGTTATAACTATAATCGTATCGAAAATATGTGCAAACTAGAAAAAAGATATGATGATTTAGCTATTATTAGACCCTGTGAAACACCTCAACAGTGGGCTATTCATATAAAAGATGATTTGAAAGAGTTACTTTCTAGAGAAAGATCTAGCATTTATCACATATATTGTCTCTTTGCTTTTTTTGGAGAAGGAAGCATTAGAACTTATCTTAAAAACCATAGACCAAGAGTTGAACCTATCAGCTATCGAAGACCTAAAGTTCATAAAAGTCAGATAGCTATATGCTTCAAATACTGGCAATTGGTAAAGATTACTGAAGTAGAACCAAAAAAGATATATTTGGAGGGGTGTCATAGATGGGGTTATGAGATTAAATCTGAAGACTTAATACAAAATCATTGGAATAATAAATGCTTCAAAACCAAAACCCAAGATAGAAGTACACGGGTTATCCAAAATGCTTATCAAGATATTGTGCCAACCAAGTCTATGAAAATTAAGAGCTTTACACCTAGTTTGATACATTCATTGACTCCTCTGTTACCACCAAAACCTGTTGCATACATATGGCGCAGTGCGAGTATACCCAGCATTATTGATATTGATGAGTACTGGGCTTCTGTGCAAAAAAATGCAAGGAAGGAGATAGACTTAATATCTTTTGACTGAATATTAATATTAATTACCTCAGCTATAGTATATTTACTTTTTTTCGCAATCCAATCGAGGTTTTGTATTTATGTAAATTTTGAGGTGGATACTTTCAAACTATTTCTTATCCCGTAGCTCAGTGGACTAAACCGCGGGAAGCTCATCGGGTCTTTCTCTCCTTGCTACATAGACAATTATAGTCTGACAATCACGCCCTCTAAAATTGGGTTTTTATAAGTGAGAAAAAACAAATAGAAAAAATATATGACATGCTTTCAAGGGAGGGAGTACGCCGTTCCTAAACCATTTAATGCGAATCCCTGCATCATATTATTTTCTAGGATATAGTCAGAGGCCCTATCGCTTCAATGATAGAAATGAAATTTTTTGCTTGACTAATGTAGAAATGGGTGGTTTTGAAAAATTTCATATAAAAATAAAAAAAAACAGAAGATTTATATAAGCCTTGTGCACAAGGAATGTTTCGAGTTAGTATGTGGCTCGCATTTGGTGATGCATTGTACATAATTAATGGCATCGATTATCCTTTTATAGATGGTATGTTTGTTTTCAAGGGTGGTTTATTTAACAAGCCTATAAATATTTGTATACCCTCAATAGGTTAGTGTTCGATATTCAATATGTATATGATTTATAGTGCACCACGATTTTCACCCTCACCAATTTACTACACTTCATTTTATTGTAGGTTTAACGTAATTTACACAAAAGTTAACTACTGTTGAATCTCCCAAAACTAATCCTGTTAAAATCGATAACCCATTAAATCAATAAAAAAAATAATCTACCAATCCTGCTTCTGCTATATAAATCAAATAGTTTATAATATTTTCAAACTCGATAACCTCTTAATACTGATACAAAACCTGTCTACTATACAAATCTATTTGGGGTTTGACAATATATTTATCTGGATATGAAATTCTGAACAGACAGAGGCGCTTCTTCAAAATTAAACTGATATAAACATTTTATATTATAGATATATAAATTTAGTGTATAGGTGGCTTTAAATAAATATCAGTAAATATATTATATCTGTTATTTTAACAAAAGTACGTATGTAAGGGTGTGGCGACCCAGTGAGTAGTGGGTTGCTGCACCCCCAAACAGCAGGTCTAGAGTTCGAATCCCACGGATGATGATTTTGAAAAAACTAGATCTGTATCGGTTAAC